CTCCCAGGAGGCAAATCGGAAGCAGCAGCTTAGTCAGAAGTGAGGGAGGTAATGGAGAGGAAATCACAGAGCCGTTTCTTCACTGTGGGGGTGGGGTCCCAGGGGATGGACACCCACAACCACTCTGTCCAGGGGACACAGGGACCCCCAGTGGGAGGCAGGCCTGGAGGGGCACCCCAAGAGCTGCCCAGAACTGCCAAGCAGGCCGAGGCCTGGCACCTGGACTGGGGGACGACAAAGGTGGGAACCGGGTCCTAGGGGAGACCGTGAGGTCAGCGGCCCCAGGGCACAGTGACCGGGCTCGGGGATGGAGGAGGCTCCGGCCGGCCGAGGGACCAGGCCCGGGGCTCGGATGGGAAGCCCGAGCACAGCAGCAAGTATGGGGCTCCGACTGTGTTTCCCACCCTGTGCTGAGGCTGGAGAGGCAGCACCCCCTTTAGCCCAAAGCGGGGTCCTGTCCAGAGTCCGAAAGCCCCTACGCCCAAGGCGCATAGCCTGGAAGTGGCACAGCTGGGATTTGAACACAGGCTGAGCGAGCAGTCCAGAACCCACCTTCCTAACGTGGCAGGGCGGGGTCCCCAGAGTAAGGGGGGCTGAGCTTCTTCTCACCTCCTACGGCATTTCCTGTCCTGACCCACAGACAAGACCCCCTCTGCTGCTGCCTCATGGCAACCAGCTCAGCTCCCTCCACCTGGTCCCCGGCTCCCCCAGCCTGTCCTCCCGGCAGCAGCCACCAGAGGGCGCCATGAGCACCGAGTCAGGTCCTTCTACCCTTTGCCCTTCAGGCTCCCACCTCCCTGGGGTCAAAGCCCAAGTCCTCCTTGCAGCCCACAGGGCCCTGCAGGACCCTGCTTTTCCCCTCCACCCCCCCAGCTCCCTCTCTGCCCCTCGCTTCCTCTGCTACAGCCACACAGGCTCCTGGACCTTACTGGGCTCCGTGCTGCCCCAGGGCCTTTGCACAGGCTGTGCCCTCTGACTAGAGTGCTGCTCCTCAAGATATCTGCATGGCCTGCTTCATGTCAGCTTCCAGATATCAACTCAAATGTCACCTTCTCAGAGACACCATCCCTGACCCCATCTGCTAACAGCCCACCCCTCTCAGCTGTACCATTGGTATTGTTGTCTTTATGACACATTTTTTGTTTCTTGAGACAGGATCTCACTATGTCACCCAGGCTGGCCTCCAACTCAGGAGAATCCACCTGCCCCAGCCTCCTGAGTGTTGGGATGACAGGCGTGCGCCACCACGCCCAGCAACCACACTTGATTTATGGCCTGTATTTGTCTGGTTAGTGTCCCTGTCCCCATTTGGCTATGAATTCAGTAAGACCAAGGGCTCCTCTGCCTGGGTCACTGTGCTGCAGAAGTGGAGACTGAGGTCTGAGGTGTGAGAGAGCTAGGGCACAAACTCAAACTCGGTCAGATCTGATCCGAACACCAGGGCCACTCAGGAACAATAGCTCCAGGAGCCTTCTGCTGCCCTAGGGCTCTGTCTCCTTGCACACAAGGAAGGAACTTCTGCAACCATCAGAAAACACAAGGTCCTCTTCTGGCTGACTCCTACACATCTGTTGTGACCTTAGCCTCAATGCCCCTTCTCTGTGACTTCTCTGACCCATGAGGCTAAGTCTAACTTGCCCAGCCCCGGTTGCTCCCTGCACAAATCCTTGACCCCACATAGCTGAGTGAGCTAGAATCTGCCTCTACTTTCTCTCCCCAAGCCTCGAGGCCCCTTGAGAACCAACTAGACACCATAACTCTGTCTCTGGAATTCCAGCATCACCTAGCACTGGTCACGGCCCTGGGGGTTGCACAGGGCATTTGTTGTTGTTTTGGTTTTTGGTTTTTTTTTTTTTAGACAGGGTCTTGCTCTGTAGTTCAGGCTAGCCTTGAACTCACTATGTAGCCCAGGAGGGCCTCAAACTCACAGCAATCCCCCTGGCTCAGCCTCCTGAGTGCTGGGATTACAGGCCTGTGCCACCATGCCCAGCAACAGGGGCATTTGTCGACTAAGTGACTGATCTCGCAGACCACCCTGAACCCAGGCCTGGGTGAGAATCCATAATCCTCTGGGCTCCTGCACTCAGGAAGTTCCCTCCTAGGTCAGCACTTGGACAGCTGGCTGAGCTGGGCCAAGGTGCATCTTGGGAGATGTAGTCCTGAGTGAACAGGGCCTAACTCCCAGCAGGCCCTGGGGCGGCCCCTTTGGGCCCTGGGCTAGATTGTACAGGGTCATGGGGAGGGTGGCCAGTGGCACCCCAATGTCTCCTTAGAGGGTTCAGGGGGTCCCTGGCCTGCCGTATGTGTTCTAACATCTGCCACTCCGTCAGGACATCCTGGATCTGAGGTGACAACCCATTGTGATAATAAAGGGAGACTGTGTGACTGGGCACCGCGGGAACGAGAGCTGGGGAGAGCTCAAGCCAAGTCTTAAACATCATCCATGTCCACCCTCACTTGCCTGCCTCCCGGAATGGGCGGCTCACTCCCTTTCCAGCCTGTCTCCAGGTAGCTACACTTCCTCTGGGCAGCTTAAGGCCAGAGAGGTTGCCCATTCCCTGCCCTGGTTCGAAAAACCTCCAGGGCTCCCTAGTGCCCTAGGGACAAAGCTCCGTGCTCAGCCTGCCATTCAAGGCCCCTGGGCACTGCTTGGGAAATGCATGGCCCGCTGCCCCCCCCACCCCTTAACACAGTGCGGCCACTCAGGGCTCGCCGATCACTTCTGTCCCCCTCCCCTGGCAGAGTCCTCCTTCGTCCCCAGCCCTGGCAGCCTTCCTGGCCCCCGTCTGTCCTGAGCATGGGCCTGGGCATCCCTCCCCCACCAACGCCCCCTCTGGGGCCCCAGCCTCACGGGAGAGGCCCCAGCCTCACGGGAGAGGCCCACACCCAGGGTCAGACCCGGACAGCCTCCCTCCCTGGAGATCGGCGTGACCTTTGCCTCCTTCCGTCGCCGGGGACCCCCCTCACCTGCCCAGCTGGCTGACGTCAGGGTCACCTTTCCAAGGGCACTTTGATTCGGATCGTCTGGGCCCAGCCCCAAGGAACCCCAGGAAGTGAGACCTTGAGCCTCAGGCGGCCGGCAAACCTCCCCCTTTGCCCCTCGCCTTTGCCCCTCTGCCACACTGCTGGGGGCTGAGACCCAGAGGTGGAGACACTCAAGCCAGAGGAGGTGACAGGGCCTTGAGGACCTGTGCGTGCTCAGCTCAGGCAGAGGCAGAGTGTGTGCGTGGAATTCTAGAGCCAAGAAGTCCTAAAACTAAACAGCATCTTCCGGGGAGACTGCACAGAGAACCACAGCAACCTGCCCGAGGCTACACAGCTTTGAAAGGTCCAGAGCCTGGGCAGGCCAGGTGGGGGCTCGGGCAGAGATGTGGGGAGCCAGGCTCTTGACTTACAGTGGATGGAGTGTGGGGTCCTTCCTCTCTGGACCCAGTCTCACTGCCAGAGAGGTCTGGTTCCCTTCTTGTTTACTCTGTGGGCTCTCTGGGCCTCAGTTTCCCTGTCTGCACTTGGGAATGGCTCAGGGTGCATATGCTACAGTTTACAGAGACTGCTGGGCAGACATCCACCACTGTGCCAGTGACCACCCCTGCCGACTTCCGGAGAGCGTAAGACTCTCCTAAGTGGGACCCTAGCCACTTCCAAAACCATACTCTCGAGGCTACAGAGCCTTAAAAGCAATTATCTCCTTCTACTAGGCCCTAGTAACTAGGATGAGGGAAGGGGTTTGGGGTGGGGGAGTCTGCTCTGCCTGGAGGCCCCTGCACGCTAGTTTTATTTTGCAGAAGGAATTTGGACTCTTGAAGCAGCCTAGGGAACCCAGAAAATTTGGAAGAAATACAATTTTGCAAATGGGGCGGGGGTCCTGTTCAGTCACTCCAGCTATTGGCCAGTCTCTGACCACACTCCTCCTTAAAACTAGCAGGACATCCTCAAAGCTTAGGGGTGCTCTCCTATCATCCCAAACTCCTGCTCCTCTTCCTCTGAGGGAGTGAAGACCACCAGTCCTGGGTTTAGTGTCTGGGACCTCTCCCCCAACCTCAGGACTCTTGCAAACACTCCCAGCCTCAGTATTTGCCCTTCCGGAGCCAGAGTGGGGGTTCACCACAGCAGCGGCCCCCCCGGAGGCGGAGAGCAGAATGGGGGACACGTGACCCCCGCCCGAGGGACCAATCAGCGCCAGAGGGTGGGGGGCCACACTCGGCGCCCCCCATCCAGCCCGGCGTGCTTGGAGAGAGACATTTTCTTTGTCCCTTTGTCAGCTGGAGGGGGGGGCAAACTCCCAGGCCCCCACTGCAGCGGGGCCATCCGGACTGGGAGGCGGTGTCCCCCCCCCCCCCATGGCGGACCCTGCCTGACGCCCTGGGCCGGGGCTCGCAGGGGTCCGGGCCGCACAGGAGGCTGGAGGGGACCCGGGCGCCCCAGGTCCCGCGGTGGAGCGCAGAGGGGCCTCGCGTGGGGGGGACCATGGTGTCAGCCCGTGGGGGGGCTCTGGATCCGCTCTGGGCCCCGCCCCCCCCCGCCTTGCTACTGCCCTGTACCCCCACCTGGGCCCTGATCCAGCCGCGCGCCCCCAGGATTGCGCCTCCTACGGCCACCACCCCCTAACACGCGCGCCGGGACAGGGTCCCCACCCGCTGCGGCGCCCACGGATCCCACGATCGCGCCCCATCTAGGGCCCCCCAGTCCACATCCAGGCCCCCCTCGCCATCCACATCCAGGCCCCCCCAACGCGGTGCCATTGACACCCCGCAATAGAGCCTCATCCAGCGCCCCAGGCCCTAATCCGGCCCCTTCTCCCCAACGTCGTTCCGGGTCCCCCCATTGTGCAGCACCCCCCAAAATCCGGGCCCTCCCCAGCTGCGTCGCCGAGAGATCCTCCTGCTCCGGCCCACCCCAAACCTCCTCCAGGCCTGATGCGTCCCCAGCCTGCGGCCAGGCCCGGGCTCCCCCCTCGCGCGTCGCCGTCGCAGCCCGGCCGGGGACCCCGCGCCCCTCACCTCAAGAGCAGCACGGGGCCGCGCACCTGTCCCGCGCTCCGCCGTGCACCCCGGGCCGCGGCGCTGGCCCGGCGGGGGCTCAGCCCCGGCCCCCCG